TACACACACCTGTGATTCAATGCTCAGCCTAAACCAGCACACACACACACACACCTTTCTGTGACTCAGTGCACACCCTAGACCACTACATACATACACATACACACACACACAAACACGGCTTATTGTGACTCAAGGAGAGTCCATACCAGCACCTACACACAACACACCTCACTGTGACTCAGTGTTCGGCCTATACCAACACACACACACACACACACACACACACAGCTCTCTGTGACTCATTGCACAGCCTGTTCCAGCACACACACACACACACATAGCTGTGAATCAATACTTAATATGTAGCAGCACACACACACACACACAAATACGCACTCACACATCTCACTGTGAATCAGTGAACCGCCTATGCCAGCACACACACAGCTCCCGTGACTCAATGCACAGCCTATACCAGCACACACACACTCACCCCTCCGGGGTTCTCTTCTTTTAATGGGAAATGCAGAAGACACACACTCAGGATGCCTGGGCTTTCAGGGCACAGCCACAGGGAAGTATAGCTGACAGGTTAACGATGGAGTCAACGTCTCCTGCGTCCCCGTGCCTGAGACTGGCTCAGTGTGTGCAGTGCAGCTGGCCCTGAAGCAGCAAAACGTTGAGCACCTCCTTCCATGGGTCGTGGAGTGCGGCACAAGGGTCACTGGCTTCCAGAAGCACCATCCCAGCAGCAGCCTAAGGTGCGTTTCCATTGCCCCCTGTGTGATGAATTCCTCGACCACATCAGAACTCACATAAGACAAGCAGAGTATCCTGGTAGAAGGCAAACATAAAATGTATGAGGCATTTGTGCACTTTTTAAAAATCTGTGATTTGGGTCAATTTTTTGGTTGTTCTAAATTAAAATTCACTCTCCTGAGTAATGCTTATTAAGAAAAATCCCTCCCTCTTAGGGCTTCCCTGGTGGTGCAGTGGTTAAGGATCCGCCTGCCAATGCAGGGCTCACGGGTTGATCCCTGGTCCGGGAAGATCCCACATGCCGCAGAGCAACTGAGCCCGTGAGCCACAATACTGAGCCTGCGCTCTAGAGTCTGTGAGCCACGACTACTGAAGCCCGTGCACCTAGAGCCCGTGCTCTGCAACAAGAGAAGCCACTGCGATGAGAAGCCTGTGCACCGCAACGAAGAGTAGTCCCCGCTCGCCGCAACTAGAGAAAGCCCACGCGCAGCAATGAAGACCCAACACAGCCAAAAAAAAAAAAAAAAAAAAAAAAAAGAACCCCCCTGCCAAAGCAGGGGACACGGATTCAAGCCCTGGTCTGGGAAGATCCCACATGCCACGGTGCAACTAAGCCCGTGAGCCACACCTACTGAGCCCACATGCCGCAAGTACTGAAACCCGCGCACCTAGAGTCCGCAACAAAAGTAGCCAGTGCAATGAGAAGCCCGTGCACCGCAACGAAGAGTAGCCCCTGCTCGCCACAACTAGAGAAAGCCCAATGCAGCCAAAAATAAATTTGTTAAAAAAAAAAAAAAAGAATTCCTCCCTCTCAATTGGGTAACCTTCGGGTCCAACCAACCTGCTGCACAACAGAAGCGTTTCTAATCCGCCAACCAGGAGCAACTGCCGTGTGCTGGGTGGTTCCGACAGATGCATTTGGATGCAGGGAAGGCACTTCCTCCAGATCCAGAATACAGTGATGGCAGCAGAAGTGTGGACGCTTCCACTGGCACCCCTCTGATCCAGGCACGGGTCCTGAGCACATTAACACATCAGCTCAATTGCTCTCACAACAGCTCTGCTCCAACTACAAAGGAGGAAGCTGAGGCTGGAGGGGCTGACACTTGCTCACAGCCATACGCCTGAAGTGACAGAGCTGGCTTTACTCCAGGAACTTGGCTTCGGGTCCTGGACGATTTAGTGCTATTCGGTATCAGACCCTGGTGTGGGAGGTGTGGTCCATCAACGGCCCCAATTCTTCACACCTCCCTGTAGCCACAATCTGCCACGTGACTTACGGTTCCTTCCACTAAAGCGGTAGAGCACACACCACACCCTCTGACTTTGGGTTTGGCTGTGGCACTTGCTTTGGCAATGGGAGGTTAGCAGGTGCACTCTAACCAGAGACAGGAAAAGCATCGCTGGGACTGGGCTGGTTCTCTTATGCATCTGCCACTGACCTGCCCAGGCCAAACTCCTGGTGCCGGGAGGAAGATGACAGGCACGTGGAGCAGAGCCTGATCTACAATTTCATGAGCTAACGGAATACGTCTCACTGGACCCTGCTGAGATTTTATAGTGCTTGTTACACAGCACTGCTGTGGCAGGCACTGACTTATACAACTTGTGTCTGTGATATTTTCCTGACTGCAAACTGACTGCCCTTTACTAGACTGGCAGAAATAGTCACATACATACATACATACATAGAATTAATCCCACCATTTATCAGTGGTTGAAGAATCTAATATATGGTAAGGATATTGCAATTCTTAAAAAAAAAAAGATGTAAATCAAAGACATGCTCGGTTCACTGAAGGACACCATGTATTTTGTGAACGTCAAGCAGAATGATCTGTTGAGACGTAAGTTAAAGTATTGAGTGTGAAATCTGTACGCATCTTCCAGAGTGGACTCCAGGAGAGAAGCCAAAGGTGCAACGCCCCTGACTAGAATCTTGCTATACAGAGCATTCCACAGCTGAGCTATGACCGAGGGTGAGCTATCAGCCACCACCGAAGAATGCCAAGGGCAAAACATTAGCACCAGATTGTCTTTATATGCAATAACATAACTATGTACAAAGTTATGTACATTGACTCACTGCAATCTGTGGGTCCCCACTAACCAGACATTTAAGAGGCAAACGGGAACGTTGTGATTCTATGTGCTTCGTTAAAAGGACAGCAGAGCACTATATATTGCTACGTAGATGAGAGAGTTCTCAAAAGACACCAAAAAGCTGGATACAGACACGAATTCTATTTTCACATTTTACAGACATATCATCAAAATGATCACAATACTGTATTTGAAGGGAAAGAATCACAGGTAAAAGCTTTGTGACAATTAAAAACACACTGATTATCACCGTGGTTGTCTCCCCGAGAGAGGAAGCAGGGGCAGTGGGGGGAGGGGGTGTCCATGGACAGCCAGCTTTACCTTTCCTGACGTGATCAGTTTTCACGGCAAGTGACCCACAGCACGTGGCAAGGACACTTCGTTGGCAGAACAGGGATTTTTCAAGTCAGGAGTAGCTTAATTGAATAAGGGTAAAAACTGTTGAAAAGGCATTTCTCTTTGGCGTCGGTGGGCTGCCAAAGGAGTGCTTATTTTGCCAGCATCACCGACGCCTGCCAGGTCGGCCCCGTCTACGGGTGCACGGAGATCGCTGCGGCAGCCCGGGAGTCCAGTCTCCCCTCTGGCTGGCGAAGCGTGGACTAGTGTCCTTTAAGACATTTGTGTGCGTCTGTGCTTGGTAAGGCAGCGGCCAGTGCTGACAGAGGGACATCTCCCCCCCGCCGCCGCTGGAAAACTTCTTTTATAGGAGGAAGAGGAATAAGGAGTTAAAACGATCTCACAGATCAAACCAAAGTCCGCACATCACCTCAACGTGAAGTTATCCTAGGGCTTCTCCCGCCATTAACCACACATTTCAACCGATGAGCATTGTGACGAAACTCACCACTCCACAGCGATCAGCTGAGAAATAAGTACGTGACAACCACGCCATCGTTGGCTAAAACATCGATTCATGTGCTTACTCGCCATGCATGTATCCTCTTTGGTGAAGTGTCCATTTCAGTCTTCTGCCCACGTTTTAATCGGGCTGTTTGTTTTCTTACTGCTAAGTTTGAGCGTTCTTATACATTCTGGATACAAATGGTTTGTCACATACATGATTTGCAAGTTATTTTCTCCTAGCCTGTGATCTGTCCACTGGAAGATGACAGCTTGACAGTTTTCTTTAGTGAATAGACTCTTTACCGTCTCACAATTTCAACCACTAAAAAAGGGTACAGCAGCTGTACACTGTGTGGCAGAAAAAGATCGGGTCTAGGAGTTCTGTGGTCCACCGGGACCTCTGAGAAACCAGAGCAACGGTTCTTAAACGGTTTGTGGCCCTTACAGCATGGTAACAAATAGAGGCAAAAAGAGAGAAATTGCCAATTGTAATTAAGGATCATACACACGTAAAATAAATGTTCTGGGGAGAGAGTAAGTTAAGAAATATCTCGTCGGCCTTAAGCAAAAAAACACCCAGCAAGCACATTACTACCAGACACGCTTTTAGCCAAGTAATTTCTCCTTGCAGGAAAATATCATTTGAACCGTGATGTCAGCCGAGAAATCCTAAAACCATGTGTCTGCTTTGTGTGTGTTTTAAAGCGTTAACGCTATTTAAGTGGCAATTTTAGAATGAGCGAACCCAACATGTAAGCTCTTCTTTTCACAGTTGGTTTTTAACCACGTGGAAAACCATTCACCTTTGTAGAGTGTTATTAAAGTATCATCATGATTTTTGCTGGGTCGGAGATCATCCTTATGTGACAGACACAATGAATAAACGCTCAACACTTCTGGACCAACAGGAGACCCACCGGAGAGGTCGTGCGCCAGGATTTGCCCGACACGCGCTTATTCCCTCCTGAGCGGAGGAAGGGGTGCAGCGTGGGAAGACGTGAAGGGCAGACCCGAGCCGGCAAGGACCACGTGTGTGCACCTCGGGACCAGAGCCCAGTCCTTACTCGGGAACTCACCGTTCACCGGAGCCGGGCGCCATGTGGTGTTGCTTCCAGGCCAAGGGTGACGGGAAGCCACTCTGCTCAGCATTCAAGAGGGGGAACTAAGACATTAAATCAATCATCCCAAACGCACCCACGGAAATTATTGCTTTTCTAACGGCCATTTGGTTCTGGGAGGGATTCTCTCTCCAGGACAGAAGTACAGGCTGGGGTTTTCATCTGCCTCCTTGGGCCCGGCACTGAAGGGCCGGCTTCTGTGCCCCTCCGGGGAGGCGTCGGGCGGCACGCCCCTCACTTGGCCCTCTCGGGCGGAAGGCTATCCCGCAGGCACTTGAGCTGCTCCTCGCCCAGGTGGATCTTGTCCTCCAGCTCGCGCTGCTCGATGAGCAGGGCCGACTTCATCCTCACGAAGTGCGCGTAGTCTGCCAGGCTGTCCTGGCTGAGGTAGCTGGCCAGGATGTCGGACACGATGCCCTCCCGCCGGTCCAGGTTCTCCTTCAACTCCTTGGCGTCCTCATGCTGCTGGATCAGGACCCGCTGCTTCTCGAGCAGGGATTGCTGGAGAGACAGAGAGACACGAGCCTGCTGGGGACCAGGCAATGGTGGGGGCGGGGCGGGGGGGTGCCGTTGTCCGGCCGATGCCTCCAAAACGCCCGGCAGCTTTTCTGGGGGCTGGTCCAGTGGAGACCCTGACGCCACCCGAGTTAGGGACCCGCACAGAAGCACCTGGGGCGTGGGCAGGAGGCACCTCGCGGAGAGAAGGCCCCGGCGCCAGCTCCCCCGTTGGCGCTCCTGGGCCGCTGCCACCTCCACTTGCTCCTGTCACTGTGAAAGGCCGTGAGGAACACGGGAGCCATCCAGGCGCGAAAAGCTCCAGGACCGGGAGAGGCTCAGAAAGAGCAAAGGGCTGAGGCAGCTGGTGTGCGTCAAAGGCCCTTCCCTGCCAATACTGTGGCCAAACGGACACAAGGCGCAGGTTCTAAAGAGATTCCAGGGCAGGACTGCTAGGCCCTTCCGGCAGACGGAGCTGCAGCTCGAGAGCAGCTGTAGCAGAGGCCGTAAAAGGGGGCGGGGCGGGGGGAGAGACCGTGCCTGTCGGGGAGGTGCCCTCTCTCCTTCTGAGGGTCCCGCTCTGGGTCACACAGACACCCCCGTTTCCAGAACGCAGCATTCACAGTCGCTGCCCACAGGGCGCGCACCCACTTCCCCTGCCCTCTCCAACTTTAATGAAAACTGAGATGGGGAGAGGTGAACGCGGTAAATGTCTGGCAGATGCCACGGATGCCCTGTCCTCGGTGCGAGTTTCTGACACCAGCAGGGCCCCGTTATTCCGCCACTTTGCAACTTGGACATTTTACCCACGGCCACGCGTGAGCATCCAGGATGCGGGAGTGCTCTGCAGAGCGCTGATCCACAGAAATTAAACGGTTGCTGAAAGCAGAAACTGCTCCTGGGGTGAGGCTTCCGGGAACTGCCCCCGACTGCACAACCTTTCGGGGTCACCTGTTCCGGGGACACCTGGACCTTCAAAGTGCTTGTGAAACAGAAACAGAATGTATTTTCATGCAAAGAGGCAAGGTATATAGCGAATTAATTCCAACCAAAAGGGGAACAGACCAACTGATTCTAGAAATGTGGTTCGGGCCACTAAGGTCAGTTGGGCTCCCTGGCAGCTAGAAGCTGCTGATGGGAGGGAGGGATTCACGTGTCTGCATCTGCCCACGTGCCCACGTGCTCATTTTCTACCTGGGAAGACAGGGGAAGCCTCCTACAGCCTGAGGCCACATCTTTTCTTTCCCTCGTTAGCATGCCTGTCTCTGCAAACCGCAGTTTTCCCAAGCCCTGGCTGCCTGACACGGAGATTTTCATCCAGCACCGGCCACAGGGGAGGCTGGCCCACTGTGCTGCACCTGGACGTGGCGACTGAACACTCCTTTTGGGTCCACGAAGGTGAAGCTGCATCAACCACACACAGCCAAGGGAGAGAGAGCCTGTCTGCTTCTCCTTCCTCCCACGGACCCCCTAGGGATGCAGCTAAGAGCTCTGCAGCCAGGTCCCCAGGAGGACCACGGGCACTGCTTCCTCCATTGTGAATAAGCCTTGCTCAGTTCCAAGCAAAGGGACATAAGGATGAGCTGCGCTGCAAAGACAATACTATTTTTCATTTAAATCGATACTTGAGAGTTTACTGTTTCAATACAAGTAAGTCTCTCTTTCCCATCCATGTTATTTCCCTAAGTTCTTTCAGATAAACTTGGCAAAGCAGCAGAATGGAATGCGGATGTAACCCAAGGGGGTCGGGCTCCAAAGCCCCAGTTACTTTTTCGCCCCTCATGCAATACGTTCCGTGACTGATAGTCACTAACGACTTGGCTACGCACAAAAGACCACGGTCTCGAAGCCACGTGCTTTGTAAGATCTTTCTGTGTAACCTGAAACCACTCTCACCTGGAGTCCAGGGGGAGGGGGGTGCCTTTTCTGCTCCCCTTGTAGAGAAGTTAAGGTGCCTTATTAATGATGAAGATGATCATTTTGAAGGCCTATTATGTGCAAAGAAGCAAACTAGATGTGCTCTGACCTACGAAGTAATAAAGCCTGTAAGGTAGATGGTGTCTTGCATGTGCAGAGAGCAGACACGCAGACCCACTAAGAAATGTCCCAAGTTGCACTGCTGTGAAGGGAGGAGGAAAGCCGAGCAGCTCTTAGACTCATTCTAGACCCTGCCGGCCCTCTTGTGAAGTCCCAGCAACCAAGTCATCATCAAACGCCACTCTCACCGAGTGCCGATAACTCGTCAGGCAGTGGGTGAACTCCACTTAAACACTTACCTGCGGTGGGGAAAGGTTACAAACAGAGACTACGTTCTAGGAAGAGACCGACACTAGCAGCGGTCGTGGGACTATACGAGAAGAGGTCCACTCTCCCGGACGCGCGCCTCGCGCCCCCCCCCCCACCCCGCAGACAGGTGGCCGCAGCGGCTGAACGAGGCTTCCCAGCGGTCGGCTCCACCCCCCCCCCACAGGAAAGCCACACCCCGCCCCGCATTCCGGTCAACCCTGGCCTTAGTTACCCGATCGCCAGGAGCAGTGCCGTCGTCCAGATTGTTGAGAGCGTTTTCCACGCGGGCCAGGCGGCCGGACAGCGACAGCAGGAGGTTCACCACCTTGTCCAGGTCCCCGATGAACATGCGGAACTTGTCGAACTCGTTGGGCTTGCAGACGGCCTTGGCCAGGGCCTCCACCTCGTCGCCCAGCGCGCTGTTGGCCTGCATGTCCTCCCGCAGGCTCTGTCGCGCCTGCCGCAGCACCTGCAGCTTGCGACCGATGCTCTCGATGAGCTCCTGCTGTGGGCACAGGGCAGGGGACGCGGTCAGGGCCACCTTGCGGCACCCCCTCACACATCCCGGATCTGCGGGCGACTCAGCTCAGCCGGGCGGCAGCTTGTTTGCATCAGTAAATAACGGGGGACTTCCCCAGTGGCTCAGGGGTTGGGAATCCACCTACCAATGCAGGGGACACGGGTTCGAGCCCTGGTTCGGGAAGATCCCACATGCTGCGGAGCAACTAAGCCCGCGAGCCACAACTACTGAGGCCCGTGCGCCTAGAGCCCGTGCTCCACAACAAGAGAAGCCACCGCAATGAGAAGCCCGCGTGCCGCAACTAGAGAAAGCCCACGTGCAGCAACGAAGACCCAACGCAGCCAAAAATAAATATAACTAACTGGGGATGTTTAAGACTAGGGAAAGGGTAAGGCCTTCCTGTTCAATCACTGGCGTTTGATTTAGAAACGGAACAGAACAAACCTATTCTCATCCTGTGAGTGTCCTCTCAGACTATGCAGGAGTGGGACCCTTGGGGCTACTCACGGTAAACCTCGTTTCAGACTGTATCTTTGCAAGGATTCTCCGGGCCTCTGTGATACTCTGTGCTTCCTTGTTTGTAGTTTTTTTTTTTTATCCTGGCCGCGCTGTGCGGTTTGTGGGATCTTAGTTCCCCGACCAGGGATCAAACCCAGGCCCTCAGCAGTGAAAGCGCGGACCGCCAGGGAATTCCCTGTGCTTCCTTCTTTGGAAGTTCCCAGTTTTGAAGACTTACATGCACAGAAGTTATTGAGTCTGGTACTGAACGTCTGGTACTGAACTCCGTGATTAAAAAGTGTCTTCCATGTAGAATGAGCAATAAAAATTAAGACGAATGAAGGATGTCAATGAACTTAGGAAAGTCTTTCAGAATAATAAAGTACTGGTCTCCATTTGACCAAAATGTAAATAAATGACTTCTAAACGTGGTGAAATATACATACTGCAACATTTACCGTCCCACCTCTCTTCTCGTGTGCTGTTCTGTGGCATTAAGGCACACGCACGGTGCTGTGCAGCTAGCACTGCCACCCATCTCCACATCCTCTCCATCCTCTGAAACGGAAACTCTTGACCATTCAATACGAGCTCCCCATTCCCCACCCCTGCCAGCTCTTGAAATGATGAATTTTTAGAGAGCAAAAATGACACGTACACAGACCTTTTAATCTGTCACCATCCTGAAGTGAAGCGGCACCATATGGTCCGAGTTGAGGGGCAGACAAAGCAGATTATCTGTCTCGTTGGTCATCACATTTGAGAAAAATTAAAAGGACAGCTCAAAAGGAGTCCAGCAGGTAAGCCTTCCCCAGAAAAACCCTTTTCCCATGACTATGGATGTGCTTCTGCTGTTAAACCCACGCATGGCGGATGCCAACCGGTGGCCTGCCCTGACACGGTGAAGGGCCAACGGTGAGAAGCGAAGTCGCCCGTTGTCCTTTTCGGAACCCTGCTGCCACCCACCCTGCACGACTCTGCCAACCTCGTGTCGACAGACACGGCAGGTTACGTGGGGTTTACGAGGCCAACGCATCCCAGTGCTAGCCCGAGGCTGGAGTGATGACAACGAAAGCAGTGCTCTGCTGCCCGCACCAAAATGAGGATTAAACAATTAGTTGGAATGTTAAGTCCGATTAGGATTTTTAAACTCAGTCTGTTGCTCCATAGTGAGTAACACTATTTTAGGTACAACGGACCCATGAAAATGGTCTGTGCCGTCCACCGCCACCCCTCCTGGGGCAGTTTCCAAACTCTGGCCCCAGACGGAGCCCGCAGGGCTCCACAGAGAGAAGGCCCAGTCTCGTGAAACCCTCCAGGATGGTGTCCAGAGCTGAGCAGGGAGCAGTTGCCCCGACCTCCAGGGCTGACATGATGGGTGAAATCCCCGGATGCTTACTTAGCCCACTGCTTGGCATGCAGTAAGCGCCTGTCCACAGCCGTTACCAGCAAGACTGCAAGTGTGCATGAGAAGCTGCTCCGAGCTCACCACTACCGTTTGGTAGACACTGCCCCATCCCAGGGACTATTTGGGCAGGAGGGGGAAAAAAAAAAAAAAAAATCAAACCACCTCGGGAGAGCCGCTGAAGCACTGGAGGCACCCTACACTTCGTATGCCTGGTACGGACAATCTGGGTCTCAGGACGATGCTTTGAAAGAGGGTCTCCATGCAGCATTTTTCCTATCAAGCGAGACATCAAGTCCTCCCAAGCGCACCTGCACGGCCCTCCCTTCTCCTTGTCCCGTGCACACTTTGTAAGCGCGTGACACCATAGATATGGGGGCACTGGAAAGGGAGCAGAGGCAGCGCAGCCAGGAGAACAGGACTACTGGGTCAGTGACAGCACAGAGAACCACAGAGAACTGCCATTTAAAGCATTTCCCGCTTGGGGTGAAAGTGCCCGACATACGCTAAGTGAACCAAAAACGTCAGCTGGCTTAGGAATGTAATCCTGGTGGGGTGATGGGGAGGGGGCAAGCTCACAGTGACTCATCTCAATCCCAAAGCTGCCATCTAATGGGGAGGCAGTGCCCGGCCCCTCGTGCCCCCGAAGAAATCG